CTGTGAAAGCGTGGTCGTTCCCCGGTCGAGCTGACCCATTCATGCTACAACCATAATATAGCTGGCTCTACCACGTATAGAATATTCTCACACCGGTGGACGATTAAATGGAACATAATTATTGTATGAATCGTTTGAAGAATTTATCCGGAGATTTTAAGTCATCCAATCTTCTTCAACATCATAAGCCTGTAATGTTCACCGCCGCTGAACAACGGCCCCTTTGGTTGTAGGGAGAATTTGCCTTGTGTTATACACACGTCGGTAACGGGATGCGGCGTCAAAGGTGCGGGATGTGTGCTCCGTTGACCGCTAAGCTCGGCTAGCATGTCGATTAAAGTAAAGCCTCAGTACTGTGGGAAAGTTCTGTACAGGAAATTTAAAAAGTTTAAAAGCTTCTGAACAAGATAAAAAATTTAAGTTATGTTATTGTAGCCAAGTGCAAAGTGAGAGTTAGTAATCCACACATCGTGGTCTTCATTATATCGATTTAGGTATATGTAGGAATATTTTGACTAAAAAAAAATTAGTCAAACAATATAATATTAAATATCAAAGAACAACTCTAATTTTATATAAAATATATTATATATATATATATATATATATATTAGAGATTTTGTTGTAAAATTTTATGAATTTACTTAAAAAAGAATTTCTAGATTTAGGTTAAGAAAGCCCCAGCGTTATCACGTTGTACAATGGACAGTTCGTATTTTATTAAATTTTATATTTTCCTATAAGTACATTATATTCTCAAAACATACAACGAAGAAAGTATCAAAATATTATTCTTTTTAAAAAAGATTACAGAAGAGGGCCATTAGAGCAATATATAATTTAAAACCAAAGGAGTCATTGAGACAAAAATTTAAGGAAATTAATATATTAACTCTGGCCTCTCAATACATTTATGAAAATGTAATGTACGTACACAAAAATGAAAGTAGTTTTGCAAAAATAAGTGATATTCATTCTGTAAATACTAGGAACAGACACAAGCTAGTAGTAGCAGTTACTCGACTTCACCGAGTCAGTAATTCATTCTTGGGGCGATGAATACGCTTTTACAACAAAATCCCAGAAAATATACAGAATTCGTCACACGCAAAGTTCAAAATTTTTATTAAACTGAGTTTATATAATAAGGTTTATTATAATGTTAAGGAATTTATGGATGATAATAACCCCCGGGAAGGGTGATCGCTACCAAGCTATTTCTAATTTGTTAATTGTAAATATGATTGTAAGCTATTATTTGAAAAAAAGAATAGTCCCGCTGGGTTTCTTGCTGGTTCTTCCCAGGACAGAGGTTTTTTTTTGTGAACCAGTGGTAAATGAAAAAAGAGACTTTCAATAAGTATTGTTTATAATCTACATTGAATAATAAAGTTTCTGTTTCTGTTTCTGATCATGTAGGGACTCGTGGCGCCCGAAGTTGTGGATCGCTCGTAATTAATATTGTTTCCATTCCAGTTGCAGATCCCCTTTAGAAATCAAATTGAAAAATTAAACCTTATTGAAGAACTGTTCATCTATAAAATAACTTAAGAAAACATTTATTAAAATCCAATAATTTAAAGTTACTATAAATTCGTTTCCCTGTGTTTTTACTACTTTTGCTATTCCATTGAGGGTACTTATACCACTATAAGGCGAATATAGGACAAAATACTTAACATAGAGAATGACTGTGGTTGAATTATAACAATATGTATAGAAATGGTTTATGAATTAATAATAAAATAAAGATGTATTAATTTAATAACGGTATAAATATTGTATTTCTGGTTGTACCGCTAAGAGTTTTCAATGAAAGCCTGTTTATAAATGTTACTCGTTAGATTAACAAACTTGTTAGAATATCCACTAGCCCATATCATCCCATGGGTTTCATAGGACGTGACAGAGGTAAAGTGAAACAGAAGATGGGCATAAAGTGAAACAGAAGATGGGCGGCTGCATCTTTCTAATAATAACTCAAAATAATAACAAACTGCGATTACCAATCCGGCTGCCAAGCATGGCAAATGTGGCAAAATCCTCCATATGAGGCAATTTATGGAAGAGACCTATTGCTTAGCAATGGACTTTTTTAAGTTGGTTTTAGGCTGTCAAATATCAACATAAAATATATTTCATTTATTACCACGCAATTTGTATGAATTCTCGTATATGCTTTATTACGTGGTAGAGCCACGCCGTAGCTACATTATGGTTATGCCACGAATGCGTCGACTCGACCGGGGAAGGATCACGCTGTCACACAATACCAGCGTAAAATGGCAGCTTAATGCTGCTTTGTACCGTGTCGTGAGTGTAGAGAACCGGAGAATATTTTTACTGTAAACGAGGCATATCATATCAGTCCTCAGGGATGACAGCGCATCTGCGTTTTGATTCTTAATCGAAGATAAATGTAGATGTCTATGGGCCATAGCATCCACTTACCATCAAGTGGGCTCTGTGCTCGTTTGTCACCCGATTGTATAAAAAATATAAAAAAGGCTGTTCGTCTTTCATGTAGGGAGTTACGAAGACCGAAGACTCTATTTAGTAGTAACGAGGCATTTCATATTGTCTCATATGAAAACGTTAAAAGTTAAAGTTACAGCATATACATATATAATATCATCAGTTTACTGCGTGCTCATTTAAAACTCGTGTAATTAGTTACAGGAATAAAATAACCATATTAAACAAAGTTTTTGTATGACCTAATTAAACAGACAAAAAGTATCTGATTTCACAGATAAAATTATGTTATCTATCACACTAAATTAGAAATGAAAAAGTAAGATATTTTTTATCTTCCGTACACAATATTTTTACTTTGTATTTCAAAAGCAGGTATAAAACGATAAGACGCGACAATCCTACTATCGAGTCCAGTGTGGGCAGGTGGCGCCTACATGGATTATCCGCGATTTAGTATACGGTAATGTTATCTTGAATGACGCTGTACTATCATTTGCACAAAAGCAAACAATTGAAACTGGCACTTTTTCAATAAAATGTAACTTTACGATAAGAAATCTAAATTTATACATCCTACAAATGTTATCATGACAAATTCAACAAATTAAAATGTTATTCGCGCAAATATTATTTGCAACTTCCTTTTTTGGTGGTTTAATTTTAACTTTTTTTAATTTAACAGCGCCCATGATAACGTGAGGGACTGAGGTGTTTGACGCCCTGACGTCATAGTTAACGAAAGCTACTTTCTACTTTTAATTATTAATTTATGATCTGATCTACGCAGAGCGACCTTACAGCTATGTTGAAGTCTTGCAGTAGTATGCTTGAGTATAAATTTATTTATGTGATCCCAAGCCGATGGTAACACCCAGCCATCTTGTCTATTGAAATTAGGACGTTTATTAATTTCAATAGCCTCACGAATCTGTCTTGGTAGAAATCGGTGTTCTTTTTGGAGAATTTGTGGTCTATCAAATCTGATATAATGGTTAGGACGATCCTGACATACTGCAGACTTCCCGGAGCATCGGTGCTTCACATCAGCGATACGTTCTTTGACGCAAGTTTTTCTCCCCCCTGTGACGATCATGGATGTTGTAAAGTGCCAGAAACGTCGGGAATTGAATAAGTTAAAATTAAACGCAATAAAATGCGTAAAATTAATTTTATTCCAGGTGTAATCGTGTAAATATAAGAAAGTATAAGAAATCATTAGTTCCATGATAGTTTTATCGAACCAATACTATAATATTAGGTACTTTACGGCAAGACTTGCGGCATTTCATGCCACCACCGTTGCAGCCGTGGAGCACAATAATTCATACTGTTATGTACTTTAGCAAAACGTTCGCCTTATCTTCAAATAAATAAAATTAAGGTGTCTGTTGGTAATATCGAAGTAACTGTCTTTTATCGAGCTCAGGAGAAGAATGCTTATAAAATGATTACTACTAGAAAATATTATTATTATCAGTATGTAGGTACTTTATATTTTTTATTTTTTATGTGAGCTATACACGGATAAATAAAGGAGTATTTTTTCACTTGTAAGTCTGACTTGAGTACTTAACGTCGCTTGTATTAGAGAAATATTTCATCTCGCACAAAGAACCTAAGTTTGCTTTAAAATTAATTCTGCATCTGAATAAACGGCTTTTTGACGCCCACCAGAGATTTCTTTTCAAGTGGTCATTTATATCAGCCCACGCTTTCCGTATTGTTGAAGATCTGCTCAAGTAACGTCTAACTTATTTTGTAACGTATTACTAATGCGTTATATAACGTATTATTAATTGCATTTATAAAAACAAATATATAAACCACTAGTAATTGCAGTGTTTTGGCGGCATTGCGAATCCATCATAATATTTCGCCCCGTACGTGTTTCAAAAGTCGACAGAAAAGCCGGCAAAAATAACTATCTAAACATCCCTTCCTACTTTTTTAAAACTATTTTTATAGAATAGGGTAACAAACGAGCACACAGTCCACCATATGTTACGCGGTTGCTGTGGCCCATAGACATCTACATCCATTCTCAGATACGAAACAAAACGCAGATGCGTTGTCACCTCTGAGTACTAAGACGGAATGCATCGATTCCAGTAAAACGGGTCTCCGGTTCTCTGCACTCACTATACGAAACACAGCAATATTTAACTGCTATTTTACGCTGGTATTCTGCGAGAGAGTGGTTCTTCCCCGGTCAAACAGACCCATTCGTGTTACAACTATAGTACAGCTGCATGGCACAACGGCATGCATAGGCTGTAACTGTACTAATTTTAGTTTTTACGTGGATAACGTATAAACTAAAATTAGTAAAGTTACAGCCTATTTACTTTTATCCAGCTGAGCACAAACAATACCACCGAGTTTTAGAGATATCGGTGATATCTCTTAAAATATACACCCGCTTAACTTGATATTTAGTATGGTTACTCATTTCGTAATGTAGACGCTCGCTAAGAACGGAATTTATGATAATCCCATAAAAATTTTTTTAGGATATTTTATATCTATAATACGTTATTATCGTCCAGCGCGACAGCGTCGTGCGCCTTATTATCGTCCAGCGTGACAGCGTCGTGCGCCTTATTGTCGTCCAGCGTGTCAGCGTCGTGCGCCTTATTATCGTCCAGCGTGTCAGCGTCGTGCGCCTTATTATCGTCCAGCGTATCGGCGTCGTGCGCCTTATTGTCGTCCAGCGTGTCAGCGTCGTGCGCCTTATTATCGTCCAGCGTGTCAGCGTCGTGCGCCTTATTATCGTCCAGCGTATCGGCGTCGTGCGCCTTATTGTCGTCCAGCGTGTCAGCGTCGTGCGCCTTATTATCGTCCAGCGTGTCAGCGTCGTAAAGCGAGCGAGCGGGTCAGCTAGTAGCTTATAAGTTTCTTCGTCATGCCTAATGACATAGATTCTAAATTGAAGTAAAATTGTGTATTTTATAGCTTTTTTTAAGTGGTACCGTATACCATTTAGGATAAGTGTCAGCAACAATTAATTATGATAGGATATATTTATCTCCAAGGGAAGAGAATGTGCTATAAAAATATTGCACAGATTCATCTAGCAATAACGGAGACGTAACTTCACCCCATTGAATATTAGTAATCCAATCATTTATTGAATCATCGTCATCTTTATGATATAAAAACATAAGACGAGAATTTTACTCTTTAATGCCTTACAATGGACGTAAACAAAAGATATGAAAAGGGTACTATGGTAAAGATCAAGAGGAATCAGATCTGCAGGTTCCTGAATTCGGTTTCCAGAATCAGGCTTCTGATATAGAATATATCACGAACGATTACAGCGTGGCTAGAAAAGGATCTTGCCAAAGGCATTTTTAAACTAATAAATTGTCTCAAATTTAGTGAAATTAAAATTAATAAAGTTTCATTTCCCTATCGAATATTTATACCAAACCTGATGTCCGGCACCTAAGTAATATCACTAAGATTAAAGACACTAACACCACCGCATAATAAAAATCTATTGTCTTAGTGACTCATGACGATGTCGCTAACCGTGAGCAAATAATTTTGAAGTTTAACAGCAAAACTGAGACCCCGATATTCGTAACACAGATTTAAGACACAAATATGAATATTTTTGTTATACGGGTGTTGTGGTGAATAGACAACGTTAACCATATATCCTCAGCTCTTGAATGAAAAGAAGGCTGCGGAATAGTTTTTAAATCCTTACGCGTCGCAATCAAAACGCCATCACCGCGTTTGTGACCAGCTGTGTTAATTTCTATACTTCTTATCAGATAATTCCGTATCATTAATTCTGTCCAGAAACCGAGTCTTTGTTATTAATATTACCTCATAATCACGTTCAAGAATTTTACGATAAAATGGGTCCGTTTTGGTGTGCAACTCTCTTGCGTTTTGATAATGTATTCTAAAGCTGTCACGGCTATATCCTCAAAGACTTAGAACATACCCTAGTATATACTAAGTCTATACATATCCTACATCTACACTATTTTTAATAACAATAATATAAATATTAATAATAATTCACATTTTATTCTTTACAAAATAATATTCATACAAAGTATATTTTATTTTAAATTATTATTTTTATAACTTAAAAAATCAATTTATTAATTTATTTAATCAATTTATTATTTCTTTTTTAAGGCTGTTTGTATGAATAAAAATTATGTTCGCATCGTCTATAAAGTATTGTTATACATACAAAATTAAATAATCAAATGAACCGCATTGATAATAAAATTACGTAATATATTATTCAATTTCCTGTCAGAAGCGTTGTATGAATCTTTATGTCATGTCAACGCCATAGCAATTTGGCCCAGTTCGTTTCAATATCAGCGATATATGTCACGGGGATTATCCAACGCCAGCCGACCTTACGTCGACCTGAATACCATTACCGCAAAATATTTGTTCTGTACACAACGCTTTAAACTTTTTGTTGCATCGCTTAACATTCCAAAAGTGAGCAGCGAACCTAATTTATATTCGGCCTAGATGTTACCGTTAGCGAAATTAATAAAAATACTTAACCGAGAAATTGTCAGTGATATACTTGATCGACTACCAAATGGAAGTTACTTATACTTTAATATTTACTACATTACATTTAAACAAGGATTAAGCTAAGCTTGAAGGGAAAAGTTAAGAAAATTAAGTCTTTGTAAGAGAATTATGTATATCTAAAAGTGGGGTGTTTATGGAGGAAGAAAAAAACTACAAATATAGAATGATATAAAAAAAAAAACTATTTGAAGTAGTTTATATCATACACGAAATAAAATTTACTGACATAAAATTTTATTAACTTTTTATGTGGTAGAGCCACGCTGCAGCTCTCACGGAATACCAGCGTGCTCAATGCTGCCGTGTTTCGTATGATGAGTGTAGAGAATTAGAGAAACCTTTTCACTGGAAGTGAGATATTCTATATTTGTCCTCAGGGGTGATAACGCATCTATATTTTAATTCTCAATAGATGACAAAGCAATCCGAGAACGACTCATCGCTGAACATGCTAAGTGCATGTTTATATTTATATTTGCACGGAGAATATGCAAAATTTGCCATACCTGCCATACCACCGTCGTCGGCAGGTGGATTAGCGGACTAACGATGGCACTACACGAATTAATTAATTAGGTCTTTCCGAAAAGTAAACGTACTAGAAATTTTACTTAAAACAACAACATTAAATGTAAATATATAAATGTAGATGTATGTATGATGTGTATTTTTCCCGTTAAAATATTTTAGTAGGCATAATGGTGAATTCTTTGACGAAATGATTTTCGTTGAATTAACTTTTTTACTTTAACAACCGTTCAAAAATTTAAATTCAAAGCAGAATGTCCATAACCGTGTTTATGTAAGGAATGGGATTTAGAAATGCTTACGCAAGTAATAAAGTATTCGGTTTTACTGCACACGCATATACTTAACGTTAAGAAAAACAGTTTTTTTTTTACATATTAAGTATTTAAACCGATATCTTTTCCGTGAAAGAGACACAATAGTTAAACTATTGAAATGTTTAATACATTATGATTCATGGGTCAGGGAAAGGGTTAATATATTTATAATTATAATAAATAAAGAAGTAGAGAAGAAGTAACAAAAGACGTATACGATTTTATAATTATTGAAAGTTACCAACTAATAAAACAACGATAAGTTGTTATATTCAAATCACAACCTAACTCTAAGAAATAGATACAAACCCCGATCTGCCTTTTTTAAAGAATAAGGGTGACAAACGAGCACGCAGCTTAGCTGATGGTAATTGGATGCCGTGGCCCATAGATATCTACATTTATCCTCGATGAAAAATCAAAATGCAGATGCGTTGTCACCTCTGAGGACTAAGATAAAAAGAGTAAAAAAGGGTCTCCGTATCTCTACACTCAACATCACAGCAGTATTAAGCTGCTATTTCACGATTGTATTCCGTAAGAGCCTGTTCCTTCCCCGGTCGAGCCGTGCTACAACCATAATAGAGCTGCAGCATGGCTCTAACACGTATAAAGTTTAAGGTTGTCATCATTTGAGATTACATGTTTCTTAATTGATTCATGCTCATCAAACATTTTATATTGTATTAACAGCAGAACATTCTATGAAATTTCAACGTGGTAGAACCTCGCTGCAGACATGTTATAGTTGCAGCACCAATGGTTCGTCTCAACTGTGTGGTGCTAGGGTATGAAGCAAACCGTTCGGCTCGAATGTTTGGTATGTTGACTACGCGGTGGAGACTGGCCCAACAATTTCACCGATGGCGAGGAAGGAATGATATATCGCGCAATCCCACCCAGCGGAAGGAGGATGTTCAGGAGTGGACTTTTGAGACTCATGATGAAGAATAAAAGCAACAGAAACTAATCGATTAATTGCAATTTTTAAGATTCGTGAACCTTGAAGTTTGATAAATAAAAAAGTATTTTCACGACGTAGGTATCCGCTTTCCGGCTCCCAGGATTGAGAAAAGAGCTGTAGTGAAGGGTTACTTACGAGAACATATATTTTATGAATTGTGACGATTATTTTAAATATACATGAACGTAATACTCGCCCTCGAATTCTAGTCATACGTTAAAGAAAATACCTTTTGGTAGTTTTAACCTGACACTGGAGCTCTATGACAATTTTAATACATGCGACTACATAACGTGAAGAAAATTCATAGGTTAATTTGATCAAAGTAAATATGGCGCTTATTTGTTAGTAGATGTAAAGATAGAAAGTGATAAAGTTGAAAAGAACTTAACACTTTATGTTTGCGTATAGCGGATCTTAAAACGGATTCGAGGCGACGGGCGACCAATGTTTGATGACATAACCATCGACTTCGGCGTATAAACCGACATACTTTTTAAACTTTTGCAAACATAAATGCAAATATTGTTTAGTACAGGTGTGTGTTTTTCTTTGCGACAAATAAGACACGTATTGCAAGAGAATCGAGGAATATGTAAACAATTCGGTACTGTTTGCAACAAGTCTTAAAGGAATGTTTTTTATCGATTTTACAAATTTGGAACGTTTTTGCCAACGGTCAGAAAAGATATGTGTTAAAAATATATTGGAATTATATAATTGTATAACATTACAATATTAAACAATTTGTATTGTATTGTACCCAATTCCCAGGTTCTAATTGATAAACAGATAAGATCGAAATCTCGGTATGATCGATGACAGTGATCGGAAGACACCTTCGAAAGTAGAATAGATCGTGTGCTTACTAATTATCCGCGTTACGTTAAGTATTGCGAAAAGCATTTGTCTCCATATTACAAATCCACAAAGATTTATGGCTATTAATCAGGCTGTAGTCACAGCCATGTACGTTTTATTACATGATCAAATGTAAATGGTTGTGTAATGACCTTTTAAGTATTTTAAATTAGCCAACGCTAATAATAATTTCATCATGTTGGTTCATAACATTTTTATATTATTAAAAACACGGAGTAAGTCGAGGTTTATGAGATAGTATCTTTCAAACTTTACTGAGTGTGTTCTATTAAAAATTATAAGCACATAAAAGAACCTACTTCAGCACCATACCGAGACGAGACAGTAAACGTAACACGTCATTAGCCCTAAGGACGAGCGAGGCAATAAGGTGTAAATTTTAGATCATAAAAAGTTTCATACGATCTATTGGGCAGTAAAATTGGTGTCCAAGTGGTATTGGTCCGTGTAAAAACATGAGTACGCAAATTATCGGCTTGACGTTTGTGGCTTACAACGCCTGTCGCTTGACATTAATTGTTAAATAATAAAACACACGAGATAGACATAAAACAAGCTGTAGGCTGATTTGATTTGTACATTGAAGTTTTGAATAAACTATTTTATTTGCGGGCGATAAGATTTTTTAACATCTCACAATTCATGCACGTCGTCCGATAACCTTAGTTTTCATTCAGTACCATTGAACGTTTAACGTTTGGTTAATTTAAAAAAAATATTTCGCTTCGAGGTTACCGCCAAATCACATAACCAAATCTTTATCCGGGTAGTGTTCCGAAGGAAAATTATTAGTTTTTGGTTATATAGAATAAACATTGTGTAGTACTATTACTTTATATCCAAAAAAGTAGGCAAAGTTCTTAAACAGTACAGTTTAGTTGGATGGCAAGAGATTTGTTGGCTTTTGAATACTATCGGAAAATTATATTTAAACACATTTATTATGAAACAGTGACCAATACAAGTCTGATATTAAAAATACATTACTTTTGTTTTTTGTTTAACCTAATCTCTAACAATGACCCTTTTCGTATATTCGAAATGCTTGAAAATGGTTCAAAAAAATCGTAAATATTTTCTAAGTTTAGAACACGGCCGTAAATTTTAGACTAGAAAAATCTTAAAGAGCAGTTTAAATTATATTGCAGACTCGATTGTAGATCGATGTAGCTGATTATCTATAAAGATGTCTTTGTCCGATAGCTAACAAATCGATTCACGCACTTGAAGTTACCATGTTAAATGTTACGGTTGACATTTCCGTGTGCTTTTACGTTTCTCTTTCTTTGACATTTTTGAAGTACATTCACTTATTTTCCACTTTACTCTTTACATTAATTTCATAAAATATCGATTATATAACTGATTAACTTTTTATCAATATCGTTAAAATTTCTCCACGTCGATAGTAAGTAATTAAAGAAGTAATTATATGAATAAAGATAGTGTATCACTTTTTTATTGGCCTGTTCAGGTTGATGTTTTATTTAAATTCTTTATAAATAAACTCCTGCAATTTAGCAAATCTGCGAAAAGACCGTGAGATAATGAAAGATAGGTATATGGAACAGAACATGGCGTAATTAAAAAAATTATAACCATCAGGAGTACATGAGACTGTAATCCGTTAGAAACAGTTTTTTCAACAACAGCTCAAACTTCAACTTAACTCCACTTAGCTTAACTCTAGTTGCCACCAGTTTTTTTTCGAATAATCACTTTATAAATTCTGGGGACTTACCGTTCCAGCTATGTATAAAAGCGATTGTCACTTCTGCTACATATAAAAATAGCATATTCAGGTGCGAACGTTCTAAGCTGCATGCCAAAAATGACGATTATGGTTATAATGTGCGGAAAAAGATTTTCCTTCAAAGAAGGCACTCCCACCATCCCTTGTGTTAACGTCTAAAGATTCAGGTTTAAAATTAACTAAATCTATTTAAATTTGGAAAATAGACAAAGAACAAGACACAAGAGGAACTGACAGACTCGGATTGCGAAACCAAAAATTTATTAGCTCAAATCCATTATACGACTACTGACGCAAGTTGCTAAAGACCACAAACTTTTTTAGCTTCGCTGGAGTGAATGAGGGGAATACTAGTGATTAAAAGCACTGCTAGAATTGTTATATAAATGATATAATTCATCATCATAATTATGTTTTATGTTTATGTTTTTTTTTGTTAAAAAGTGTGGCTGCGCTGGGGGTCGCGCGTTTGAATCCCACACGGAACAAGTATTTGTATGGCCTACAAATAAGTGTTCCGGGTCTGGATGTTTGTCCTTGTGCAATTTATGTTTGTAAACTGCCCCCACGATACAGGAGAAAATCCTAGTGTAGGGGTAACGTTTTATAAGAGGAAGAAAAAACATAAACATCATAATAATTATCACTTCAACCCTTCAGAAGTCCACTGCATAGGGCTCTCCCCTCCTCAAGGAATAATACAATGCACGGTCTTGCACCACTTGCATCCATCAACACTCCATCCAGTATACGGCCGCCTTATCACTCCTTTTGCCGTTACGAGACTAACATAATAGAACCTTTTTACTGACTGAGACTATTTTATAGTAGTAAGAGTAACCAACGGTCACATAGCCCGCCTGCTGGTATGAATACTGCACCCCTGAGAACTAAGACGGAACGTCTCGACACCACTAAAGCAGATTTGCAGTTCTCGTCACTCACGATACGAAACACAGCAGTATTAAGCTGCTATTTTATACTGGTATTCTGTGAG